TGTCAGTGTACCATTTAAAATCATACAATTTCTAATAATTATGGCCCGTAATTTACGGGTTACTTTTACAAAAGCAATATTTAGTTTTGTGACATCAATGAGTATTGTCAGGAACTGTAGATCAATATTCTGCACATAAATTATTATTTTTAATTGAAAATAAGTGGATTACTGTTCTGCACATCAATATTTGCTCCGTGTAGGCACTTTTCAGCCTTCATATGTGTGTATTTTTGAAGGCAAAGCTAAGGGACTTGCTATTAAGTGAAGTCATAAGGGCGACTAAAGTTTATTTTTATTAAATACAATAAAAACCTGAAAATTGTTTTTTTGTATTGCATGGCCATTACATAGGCATTGAGAATATAACTCGACAATATAGTGTATAAAATGTAAAGATACAATCATTTTACGGAGCGTATATTATAACGATAACGAAAATAATTGTACAACACTTAAACAGAATAAAGCTATACTAAATTTAAAATAGCTTACAAATACAAAATAAAATAGAAAAGTTTGTATGTTTATTAGAGTGTTTGTATTGCAATAAAATAAAATAAGTATTTTTACGGCGTAGCATGTCATCTTTTAAGATAGTATGTTTCGCAAGTTTGAAAGACTGGAAATAAGTAGAGTCTACGACAGAAACATATTATCAGGAATAATTCTTATTACCCGTTTTTGCTTTAGAGATCGTTCGCATAGTTTCTCGTGTTTTATTTGATGTGCATCCAGTAATACATTTTAGCCAAAATATGTACAAACAACGGTGACGCGTTTTTGAAATAAAATAATATTGATCTTTTGCATGTTGGTTAAATTAAAGCATACATTTCTATTAATTTTATAGACCTGTTTATTTAAATAGAAAATATATAAAATATATTGTATGGGTCAACCGTGGTATAATAATTATCCAAAAAAAAATATATCGAGCTACAAAATCATCATCATTAATTGTAAATAATTCGTTTGAATTGTTAAGTGTGCTCCCTGGCATAAGATTTATTTTGCAATATTTTAACTTATACTTAATATAAGTCCATGTTTCCATGAAAACGTTCTCGTAAATATTTACATGTACGTCAATTATTGAAATGAGTGGTTAAAGTGACTACTACTTTGAAATGACGTGTGATTTAATACCGTTTTAAACTATTATGTCCTTTGTAGACTCACTGAATTGAGTTTTATACTGAAATTGTAGTGTGTTTTGTTTTAAATAAATCATTAAAATTTCATATAAAGCATTTAAACAATTTTTAAGAAAGAGCCCCAGATAAATCCTGAATTATAAATCAACTTTTAAACTTTTGCAAATCTGTTTTCAAAAAAAGTAAAAGACTTATTATGCATTTTTTAGCTTTATGCTATAGGAGCCAAAACCCTTTAAACCTGCCATCTGCCTAGACTTCACCGATTTTGACCCCACTTAAAACAGTTGTACATAAACTTCATTTTTTTTTATCTGGACTGAGGCAACGTTGCAAATTTAGGGTTTTGGTTGGTAAATACAGTTGTCAAGTTGGTCGCATTGATTAAAACAAACTAAGTTAGTTATAAATCTAATTGTGGTTATGTATAAATTATTGTAGGTTACATTGTGCAGTTGTCAAGTTGAGTGGTCAAAATTCGTAGTTAAAAATGCAATTAATTTGGCTTTGGTGGTGCTTGGATGAGTAAAATCATATAAAAAAGTAGTTAAATATAGGTTGATTTACGGCCCAGAAGAGAAAGTATTCCTAGCGGATACTAATCGCTTTGAAAAGAATTTATATAAAAGAAATTAAAATTTTTGTGAACGTTAATGTTGTTCAATGGTAAATAATGTGTGATGTAATATTTATAAAACCAAATTCGTTACTTTTTTACTCCAAAAATGTCCATAAGGCGATGTACTTTTCCATTGTGGCATTTGGCATAATTTCATCCTAATGAAGTTTTGCCCTCAAAAGGCCTTTTACATTCGAGTTCGTTGCTATTATTTTTGGCATAATTATCTTTTTATTTATAATTGACAAGTAAATTATCAATAATAAATATTATTGTCAATTTGACAGTGTCAAAGTATTTAACTAAATTCTTTAGCAGAAGTACCATTTTTAAATACTAAAAATACTAAGTCAAACTGGCATAAGCCACCAACCTAACAAAATACCCGAGTCCAGATAAAAAAAAATTAACTGTGTAGGCAAATGTACTGAGCTATAATATTTTATATATTTTTATATTTTTATTATATTACTTAAATCATATATGACTATGCTGATCTATTATAGGATGTCCCAGAAGTCGCACACCACTTTAAAGGTTTATGATCTACAGACACCCAGGAATCTCAGAAAATTGTTAAAAATAATTTACCTTTATTATTTAAAAAAATATGAGAGCGTAAATAGATTTTAAACTTAAAAATAAAAGTTTACCTTACATAACTTTAAATAATATTTTATCTTTACTTTAACAATACGCATAATTCCATTTTTCTTCCAGTTATACAAATTTGTATAGTTGATATTTTTTAGTATTTTGCATATTTAACGAGTAATAACGGATTATGATTATGAATGTTATTAAACGCGAAGAAGCGGCGCAGATATGTGCAGAACAGGCGCCAAATTTAAAATGCACATAAAGGTTTACTTTATCATCACGTCGTGAGTGAGCATAGGTATAATTTTATTAACTCACTATTAACTAACTCATTTTCGAATTTAAACAATTTTTATAAAATCCCTTAAATCAATTTGGTGTCGGTTTAAATTATATTTTATATGTGCAAATTTTATAAAAAAGCATTTTAGAGATAATTTAGTAAACGACTAGTAGGTAAACAATTTATATTAAAATATTCATAGTTGTATTTTCATCAAGATAAAAGCGCTATACAGCAAAAATTATGCAACAAAGCAAAACTGCACATCTGAGAATAGTGAAGCAACTTCAACTCAAGATAATTACGTTTAGTGCCAGGTAGCAAAGTTGCTTTAAGAAAGCACATTTAGTAAAGCCGAACATACATATGTTTTTAAAACTTACTAAATCAAATTAATTAATTTTAAATAAAGTTTCCAGAAGATTACTTTTACAATGAAAAAGTCTAAAAGTTATATTTTATTCAATTTAATTTATTCTTAAATAAATTTTTAAACAAATTTTTCTTTAAATTATTCCAGCATGCAAAGGATTGAAAATTTCAAGTGAATTTTGATTTACTGATTCAATTTAAAAGTTCACATGGACGATTTGCCTTCGTATGGTCAAATATTATGATGGAATTTAGTCTCTCGTCACTGCCTGCGCTTTTCCTGCATGTCTACATTAAAATCGATATGTTTAAACAGCTTGTTTAAGCTACGATCCTTTTCATGCCACCGCCTTAGCCAAATAGCAATTTTAGTTATAAAATGGATTTTATAAGTAAAATGGATAAAAGCTAGTAACAAAGTAATTTTAAGATTGCGTTTTTAATTGTTAATTCATTTTTTTATAAAACATTTTTAAATTTGATATTTTGTTTTTATATTTTTTTAGAGATGGCAGATGCTCGAGCGCTTTGCCAAGCGCTCATAAGCGCTCATAAATGCTCATAAGCGCTCATAAATGGTCATAAGCGCTCATAAATGCTCATAAATGCTCGAGCATTTATAAACGATGAAATATAAATTTTATTAAAAAAAATTATTGAAAAAAAAATTTGATTGAAAAAAAAATTTCAACAAAATAGAGTTACTTAAGTAAACTAAGGTTCATTTATATAAATATGTATTGTAAAGTTTATATAAAAAGTTTTTATTAAAAACACATTTACACATTTACATATCTTTACCTTATGGCATAAACTAGCTAACCTCTTTTCTAATCGTTAAATACTATCAAAATGTAAATTTTGTAAATCATTTTGGGATTGTTTCCCAAGAAACATCACCATTTCAGACTGTGCTACGATTCATAGTTTTTTTACCAGTGTGAAAAGGTGCAAAACTTTGAAGCTACAGACGTAATTAGCGACATGGTAATGAGGCGCATGAGATTACACAATCCTTGGGCAAACATCCAACCCTAGACTTAGTTTATGGCTAAGGATGCTCAGCCTGGAGGCAAACTCCTCATCCTTGGCTTCTCAGAAACTGAAGTAAAATTTCTGAAAGTAATAAATGGAAAGTCGTTATACCAGCTTTCCCATACACATATAGGTTTCTTAAAAGTGTTCCCCCTTCTTTGGTGGGCCCCGCTCAGAAACCCCCAAGCCACGGATAAATTTTTATTCTGAAATGGATACGTCCACTTTTAAATTAGAGTTCATTCAGAATAATTTGCAGCACTGTAGGGAGACAACTGGTCTACCAAGCCGCAAACTCGGCAGTACCCAATATAATACCAGGAACCATGTTTTGTACAATCTAGGATTGCTGGTCTGGGCAAGAACTCTTTCTATAACAGCTATAAAGGAAGCACACATAACTCACCTAGAACCTGCATATTAGTTCCTAGAAAACTCAACGTCATTCTTTTGTTACAGTTTTGCACCCGGGACATCACTGTCATAAAAATATCCTGGGAAACAATAATTGCCTCATGCTATCTCAAAATCAAGGCTGAAATTTCGCCTTCGAGTAAATGAACAATAATTATTATAGGATGTCACACCAATGCCCATCAACCAACATGAGGAAGTACCGACATCAACAACAGGGGTGAGTCCCTATGCGAATACCTTACCAGTACTTATCTTGAAATATTAAACAAAGGCAGCGATCCTACATTTGGGGCCAAACAAATATTGCCTCTTTTAATATCTCAAACTATTACTTCTACTAAATTGGGTGATATCTAGGCAGGTATCTATGTCCGTCCACAGAATAAAATAATAATTGTTCAATCAGAAGGTATAGAAACCTCAGGAGGACAGACATTAAGCTTTATAAAATTACATTGCCCGAGGGCTTGAAGTATCCCAGTCAGCACATGGATGTCCCAAGGACGTCCTACGGATGTCATCCTTGGATGCTCTGGACCTCCCAGGGATGTCCTACAATATCCCATGGACCTCCATAGGACGTCCATGGACTTCCAAATGGTGCACTTTTGTATGTCCAGAGACCGTCCCACTGAGGGTCACAATTGACCTTATATGGATGTAATTGGACCTCCCAGGGATGTCCTACAATTTCCCATGGACCTCCGTAGGATGTCCATGGACTTCCAAATGGTGCACTTTTGTTTTTTAAATAAAACCCATAAAATATGTAAAAATAACTTTATTTTTGTGAAAAAGTAACTGATTAAAATTTAAAAAAAAAAACATAACCGTAAGATAAATTATAATTTCTGTACTCATAAATTTGCACTTTTTGACCTTCTTTGAACTTTATTTTGAATTCGGCCTTTACAATGTTTGAGCCATGATTTTATCGCCATTTCAACTTCTTTTTCCGTGACATTTAGCAGCTTCTTTACTGCAGCTAGAATCATATTATTTTGGTAAAAAAATACATACAAATTGTTAAACTTACTGATAACAGCCTGACAAATATTTAAATTTTGAAAACTTTTTTTTTCATTTCTCTTTCCTTCAAAGTTATATGTTACTCCTATATTATCTGAAAGAGTTTTTGTGAGGCATCTTTTTACTGCTTCATACGGTTTCTCCCCTCCAGTGTTATATAAGAAGTCCACCTATAAAAATTGTAAAGTTGGTCGTACATTTATGCATATTATATATATTACATATTCATAAATTAATTAGGGTGGTACTTACCTATAGGTATATCTATATATTTTTATTATTCACTAAAGCTAGCTGGATTTAAAAAGCACTGAACTACGAACTATACTCTATGTACGAACCGGTAAAATCACAAAATGGCGAACAAGGTGGAGCATCCAGAGTCTCTGATAAAGAAGGCATCTGTTTTGTGCGGTGAGGAAGCAGCGCAACGTTGCCAGGTTGGGCGATTTGAGAACTGCCAATCGGTCTAAAAATTTAAAATTGGCGACATTATGGGCGAGATCAGATGATTTTTTATAAATACCTTCTTTATTTTTGTTTTTAAATTTGCTGCTTTTAACAGTTTCTATTTACTTCATTTGTTTTTAAACCTACTCAGTTTTTAAAAAATTGCTCGAATGTTATTTTTACCAATCAGGTTTTATAAAATCTCGTTCATATCCACTATATAGTGGATAAAGCTATCAGATATAAATATTTATCTACATGCCCTAATCTTGAAGACTCTTTGTTGGTAATTCTGGCAACAAAAAAATGGCAACACTGCCAAAGCTGTACAGTAAGCTAAATTTAGACGTAATTTTGTTTATTTGACAACCTTCTTTATCTCTGTTTGACATGTTTGATAAAAATATTAAATATTAGATTCTGCTCAAAAATATATTGATTATAGATTTAGCAAAAAAATGATTTTTGTATTTTTTTCTTTTCAATGTTTCTTATTACATAAATTTTATGTTAATAATACAAATATATTGAATAACTTTAATCAATTAAATCGAATACAAATCTTAATTTTGTTCCCCAGCAAAAATCAAACATTGTCCCAAACAGATGTTCGGTGGATATCCACAGGATGTCCAACTCGGAACGGCCGAAATAGACTTAATAAGGAGATCCGTGGGAAATCCACAGTATGTCCAAGTCGGAACGTCCCAAAAGGACCTAATCAGGAGGTCCATGGGACATCCACAGTATGTCCAAGTCGGAACGTCCCAAATGGACCTAATCAGGAGGTCCATGGGAAGTCATGTGCTATCTGGGATCTACCTATACCGACTGGAAAGTTTTGAACAAGACTGTTCTTGAAATGCATACTATTATTATGGCTTCCTATGATCAGTCCGGTCCAAATAGGTAGATTAAATTTTACTAAATCAAAAAATTCTTGATGGTCCAAAGTGTTACACAAAAATGACAGACGTTAGCTGCATTATATGACGTATCCTAAAGTTACAAATAAGTTGTGTTCTTTCGTTAAAACATAAAGTGTTTTATTAGTTGGGACAATCACTGACCAATAACACAAATAATATATCAGGCAGAATATATTACACGAAGGATTAGATAAGAAATAAACTGGACAAGGTTTTTAATAAAGCTAAGTTTCAGTTTACGACACATAGGACATACTGAAAGCTGTTCTTATAATAACAGAGGTTTATGTAAATAAAAAAATACTAAGAATCTTCTCAGATAGTCGGGCCTTCTTACTGGCCTTGAGCCACAATATAGTTGACTCGGGCTGGTAGCGGAATGCATCTCTGCCTTGAAGCATTGTCCTAGAAATAGTATGGGTTAAAGGACATAAGGGTACTAAAGGAAATAAAAAGACTGATAAACTTACAAGAAAGGGATCGGAAAAGCTGCCAGTATGTCCTAAACCTATCCTGCCTCTAATAAAATCAACCTTAAAAGTTTGATAAAAAAACATACACATGAAAAACAATTCAGATGATGGTTCATTTAAGTTCATGCCTCCAGACCAAAACTATAATTACTAATCTGTCTGAAAATCTAGTCAAGTACATCTCACAACTATCTCGTCAGAACATTTCTTACCTTGTCAAAATCATAACAGTACACCGTAGACTAAACGAACGGTAAAATAGAATACAAAAAGTAGACATTGATATTTTTAGAGGGTGTAACTGGGGGGAAAAATGTGATTGATACCCATTATTTGTGATCTTGAGTTTAGAAAATCAAGTATAGGTAAAGAATGGGTTGACGCAATCAATAGTAGCCCCATCTCTTCAGCCGTTTTTCTGAATTTTCTGGAAGCTCGCAAAGCTAGAAAACTGTAAAAAAATGTATCTCGGAGCCAGTACAAATCCTCAACGAAGTGCCTTCCAGTTACTTTATTTTATAAATACTACCTACTTTGTATAATTTTAATTATTATTTTAATTATTTAAAAGATTTTGGTCAATTTCCCCCTTTTGCACCCGCAAGTGTATTTATACCTTTTGCAATAATATTTTTTTGTTATAGAATAAAATTATTCTGTATAGATAATAACAAGCCTTTTATTTAATTTTAATTATTCTTACATGATTAGATACTCTAAAATTAAGTAAAATGTATCCTGAGGAAAATCTTAATTTCAGTGTCTTTGTTAAACTTATGAAGATGTTATCTCAAGTTTCTGTAACCCCAGAAATACCTAGACTAACAGTGACAGACACAAATGTATAATATAACAATCAAGGACGCTTCGTTTATGATTAAATTTCACAGAATCCCAAATTGGGATCTTAAAATACAAATGCAAAACACAATGGCATATATTTTATGAATGGAATATATTTTATGAACTTTAGCGAGGAATATTAACTTCACAGTAAAGATAGAGCCAATATAAGCCTTTCATACTAAGGACATGAAGTAGTGATAATTTTGCAAAAGGATCTATGAAAGTTTAACTTTAAGTACTAATAAAACTTTTTTATTACTTTAATAGAAGAGTTTGGAAATTTTTTATTTTATAAACTAAAACAAACAATATCGGTTAGGCCTTGTTCGACTATTTCTTTTAGTTTTTTACAGTATTGCTAGTGGTACATTTAAATTTGCTACTATTGATGGTTTTGAAGTATTTTAAAGCGATTTTGGAGCGGTTTACACGCTTTTAACCTGTCCAAACAAATTATTTAATAAAAATACGAGGGGTAAACCACTGATTTTTTTAAATTAAAGATCGCATACGAATTAACGGCCAAGGATAACAATCAGAAGGGTAGCCATGCGCAAGGCGTCTTATTGATAAGAATTTTTCCTTGATGATAAGGAAAAAATCAGAACATAAGGTCCACATAACGTTGAACGTTGGTCTAGCTGATTTTAAAGTGGTTACCCCTCGTAAAAATAAGTCACATTTCATATGGCGTCGTTGCTAAGAAAATTAATGAATGAAATAGAATATTAATAGAAAATTGACATTTATGTTTAAAATGTGACAGCTATATGTGAAAATAAAGTCAGATTAGTAAAAAGTTAAATTCTAAAAAAACATTACTTTGAGTTCGTCGTATAAAAAGCATTGTGTTTCACGGTATCAAAAGCATTTTTAAAGCTCGTGCAAAACTCGTATTAAAAAGTCGCTTTTAAATACTTGTAAAACTACTAACTATTATCTACGACTGCTATGTAAAACGCCAAATTTTATACAACCCCCAAATTAAGTGAACGTCACTTTTAATCGGCCGATGCTTGTTTGATTTATTTCTAACGCTATGGTGACAAAATTAAGTAAATACTTGTCAGAACTGTCAATGTCAAATTTAAAAAATTTAAAAAAGGTTGAAAATTACATTCCTTGCGTGTTTGACTTGGTAAAAGAAATATAACAATCTAATAAAGAAAATTTTTATTGTAAATTTAATAAATCTTTAGATTCTAAAAAAACAAAAGCGTACAGCCTTGGAATGAGAGGTACTGCACTTGTCAAATATGGCGAATTAGGTTATAAAAAATACAGTGCCGTAGATGTAAACCAGCCGTCAGTTTGACAGCTAATTGAATAATGCCTTTTCAGTTATCTGAATTTGAAAAAACTCGTATAATTACAAAAATTGAAGACGGATGGTCAATCCGTATTTTAGCGCAGGTTTTCAATAGAAATAAAAGCAAGATTTTGAAAATTAGACAACGTTGGAAAGAAGAACAATCAATCCACCGCCAGCAGAAGAATACAGGAATCTGAGCTTAGATCTCGTCCGGCTGTGAAAAAAACTTTACTAACAGAAGAACGGCGTCAAGCCAGAGTTATTTTTGCTTTAAATTACATACACCGGAATCCTCAATATTGGCACAATGTTATTTTTACTGACGAAAAGACGTTCCAGTCGCCTTACAATGGCCAAATACGTGTATATCGTCCAGCAGATACCAGATTTGAACCACAGTATACTAACCCACTTGCATTAAGAACTGGGCGTTTCTCTGTCAATATATGGGGCTGGATAAGTGTTCATGGACCTGGTGTTTGCTGGCGAATAGAGAACCGATTTAATGCCGAAAATTACGTTAACATTTTAGAAAACATATTTCTACCCTCTGATGATCAAATTTATCCTAACAACAATTTTATATTTCAACAAGATAACTGTCCAATTCACACTGCTAACGCTGTTACCCATTGGTTTCAAACCAATAATGTGGAACTGCTGCCCAGGGCCAGTTATAGTCCTGATATAAATCCTATTGAAAATATTTGGGGAATTATTGTAAAAAAATATATAATCAAAATTTTAGACCACAAAATGCCAACGAATTATTTGAAAAAATCCATGAGTGCTGGGAAGGCCTTGATCCAAATATTGTATCAAATATTATTCAATCAATTCCTAATAGATTGGAAAAAGTAATAGAAAAACAGGGATTTATGACCAAATATTAGATTGCCATTAATTCTGTGTTATGTAGTTAAATGTTTTGTCAATATATGTATTTTTTATTTGCTTATCGAAAAAACTCTTCTTAGAGTTTTTTTAAGGTATTACACAACGCCACTGCTTTGCATTTTTATAACCTATTTTTCGTGATTTGACAAATGAAGTACCTCTCATTTTAACTATGGTTTCGCGTAAAAATCGAACAAATTTTGGACATTTGTTTGCAAGTGATGCCAGAATTAAATATATTTTTGTTACCTTGTTTGTACATCTAAATGGTACTTTTTTTTCAAAAAAAAAAAATTCATCCATTGACCCCTGTGGTTTTCAGGCCTTAAGTCACTCTACTGTGTTAAAAATAGATAAATTTCGATATTTTGTAATAACATTTTTATTTAAAAACGTATAGATTTGAAATTAAGATAAAATGTAGACCTTATTAGTGGCAATAAATCCACGTAATATTTTTTTTAGATTTTAATATACAGGGGGCACGGTGGACAATTTAATTTAAAATTTTACCATTTTTTAAGGGTTAAAAAGTCGAAGAAGCAACGTTGTTTTATAATTTTGAGTATATCACGTTAAAGTACTGATAATTAACTATTATTTGATATATAACCTTCTAAATGCAAATTATGTTTCTACGAGAGACACCATTTTTAAGTTAAGCCTTCAAAGAGCGTAATACTAACGTGTTTTACAAATTATAAATTCTTTTAACTAGTTTTATAAGATAATGTATTATATATTACATACAATATTTTATATATAACATACAATTCTTACATATTTATTTAAAAAAATCGCCATAGATGGAGCTAAAATTAGTTTTATTTATAAATTTTAAATTTTTTTAAGTTTACTAATTTTGATCATAGTAGGCATCACAGAATTATCTCTATGGTAACCTACCATTGGAAGCATGAAAGATAATTTAACAGTTCAGTTTATAAGTTGCAAATGACTGATTGCGTTTCAATTTATAAGTGTACTATAAACTTAAAATATTAATTTATTAAAATGAATACACTAAATAATAATTATAGACAGTATCAGCAAGTTAGAAATTATAACCTACTTTAATTTTATTTTTTGCTCCACAACCAAGCTTCAATTTATGTTTTACTCGATAAACAAGCTTCAATTTTAATTCCTAACTGAGGAAAGTAATATTTACCCAATAAATAAATTAGAATAAAGACTTTTTATGTTGCAATCGGCTATTTAGATATACCTATATTTTTATTCATTTGTTTTTCGATTTTTTTGTAATTAGTTATTTTGCATTTTTTTATATTTAATATAATGCTATACAGGGTGTTTCTGGAGAAACGCAAACGGTATGGATTTGAAATTTTAATAGAATATACAATTTGATTTAGACTATACATAAAGTCAATAGTTTTCAAGATATTATTTTTTTTCGTTAAAATGCACGTTAATTAAAATAGCCTCTAATTTGTTTGTTATTATGTTTGTTGACATGCGGTTGGAATTTTTGGAATATTAAAACATTGCTTAGTTTTTTAAAGGTTTTTCAATAAATACCTTGAGAAAAACCACTTGAAATTAGGCAAACTTCAAACAATAACAACGTTTTTATTATAAATGTAAAACCCTGTATGTTTTAACATAATCCAATAGAACATTAAAGAATCTTTCAATTGGTATTATAGTAACTCTTTCCTAAAGTTAAAATTTCAGAGACATTTAACAATTTCTAATATTTTCAATACTATTTTGTATCAACAAACCTCTGAAATTCTACATGTGGTTTAATGTAACAGTATCCATGGTTACCACCAATCATTGTTTAAAATTAATTAAAATATTTGATTGAAAAAATAATAACTCAAAAAATATTGACTTTAGGTATAGGATATGGTATAGCCATTTTATGTAGAATTAAATAATGTAAAAATATATGAGGTATTCCGGTAAAACAGGAAGTATTATTTTGTTTAAAATAATTTAGGAAAAGAGTCTAAAGCGAATACTTTACGCTATTAAAATTTTAAATCGATGTCTTTCGCGATTCCCTAGAAACTTCCAACGGACTAAGTACGTGAAACACCCT